GTTCATGGGAAAGTCTGGATATCCACAAGTTTGTGCGACTTTACCTTTGTTGTAGCTTATGGTAATCATCTTTTCCAGCATGTCTATACATATTTTTCATTCCTTCCCCAAACAAGTAAAAGAATCAACTATCACGGTTTACGAGATTTATATTTCTCTATAGAGAAATTTGTAATGAGAGCATTCAAGTGTTCCTATTCAAAGCATGTCCTGTCGGTGAAAGAGTGGGCAAGATGCAGAGAGAAGGAGAACCTGGTAGGCCTGCCCCAAGAGGACAAGGAGCGAACACTGTCTCTGGACAGCTTCTTTGCTTACAACACAGTCCAGGCTGTGGCCCGTGCTGTGGATGCAGCAGTGTCCTCCACATCAAGGAGGAAGTCCATGGAAAATGGAGGCAGATTAGATGTGCACCGGTTTCATCCATGGCAGGTATTCTCTCCCCTTCTTGGGGACTGAATTCATAAAATGAAAAATTCAGATGAGATTTTCCAAATGAAGCAGCAGCTGGAACACTCTATGTTCTGTTCTCCGATTTGGACACTTCTACTGGCTTGCCGGGACTGAGTCCAGCTGGTCATGGCCCTTAGAGTTGCTTTGAGTCATCCTGAAGAAGAACATAGAAGGAGTGTGAGGACTGTACAAGCCCTTGCTCAGATTCCTTGACCTAAAAATAATTGGTTTGCTATCTTGCCTGGGTTCAGAACACAAGACTATCCTTGTTTGACCTGCTAGGCCTGGCTGAACACAGCCTTCCCTTAGTTGTGTCTGCATTCCTAATCCCAGCAATCACCTGATAGCAATCAGCAACCTACATTTTGGTTCCTAGCTGAGAAGAGCAGTGCATGGGTCTCCAGCTGGTCTAGGACTTTCTAGGGAAGCCAGCGATCCTCCAGAGAGCGAACCCACTTGGAGCGGTAGATTATAAAGCTAGTGGTCATCAGACACCTTGCAAATAATGCAGTGATGCCCAGAGGCCAGTAGGGACTGTCCGGAATAAATCAGTTTATCTAATCAGATTTCACGTTTTGACTGAGTAGCCTCCCTGGTGGACTGTGGGAATCCTGTGGACATCGTCTATCTGCAATTCAGCAAAGCTTTGCACGAAGTGCCCCATGATGTTGCAATTAGGAAACTAGCTCCAAGCAAGTTAGGTACTACAACTCTCAGCTGGACGCACAGTTGGCTCCAGAACTGGACTCAAAGTGTGCTCATCAATGGCCCCTTTTGAAAACAAAGAGAGGTAACGAGTGGGGTACTGAGGGGATCAAACCCGCGCTTTTCAAATTTCGTAGCTAGTGGGCTAGCTAATAACTTGGGAGACAGGGGGAAATTTCACAAGTTCTCAGTAGGAGAAATAGGAATGCATTCAGAGGGGGTAAGCAAGGATGATGCATGGACTGGAAACAAAGAACTGAGTTCACATTGAAAGTACTTGACACATTAAACCTGGAGATGAAAAGACTGAAGAGGGGTATGGTAGCAATCTCTGCTTGATCATCCCAGAATGCAGAAATGGAACAAAGGTCTGAAGTGACAGGAAGCCCTTTGGGGTCCTTTTCAAATCCCCTGTTCTGTGATTCCCATGAGACTCCTCAGAAAGAAATCCCATTAAACATGCTATAATGAACTCCCAGGTTATCTGCTGAAGGACTGCACGCTCTGGATTCCTGAAAAATTTCCATCAGAGAAGCTGTCCTCCCTTTCCCTTCAGTGATGAGGCTTCTACTGTCTATTTCCTAAATTCTTAAAGCAGACCGTGGGCACCCAGCAGTGAAATCATAATCCTGACCTTAGTAAGAGTCATACCCAGCCACATTAAATGGGATCAAGCTCTTAGCAAACCTGGGGTATGAAACGGGTCTTAACTGCTTTCGCTTTCTTTTTTGTTCCAGCTCCACCCTTTCCTGAGAGACCCCCAGTTTCACAATCATTCTATTGACGGGGTGTATTTGGATGAGAACGGAGACCTGACAGCCAACATGGACCTTTTTAATTGGGTGGGTTTTCCAAATGAGACTGCTCTGAAAGTGAAAGTTGGAAATCTAGAAAGATGGGGCTTGCCTGGACCCAAGCTGATCATTCATCGAGATCCCATTGCATGGCCAAGATGGAAAGATCAGGTGAAGAAAACCATCCCCATTATTCCATTGTTTTCATTTCCCATTCCTTCAATAACATTCTGGATAATCAGAGCTACAGATACTTATTAAATGAATAAATAGCCTGAGATGTAACAGGTGATGCATTTCATTTGGAGGGAATGTCCAGCTGCTTCACCTTTACCGCTGGGGGTTCAGTTATGGAATCCACTGAAATGCTGGAGATCCTTCCCCTCTCTGTCCTTTCCAGCTCCTCAGTCTCCAATTTCCTCAGCCCAACCCTCCTCCCTTGATGCTCCTTCTCTCTTGCTCAGCCCCTGCCCCTGGCCAGGTGTGTGGAGAGCTGCTGCCTGGGTTTCTTCAAGGTGGCTCGGGAAGGACAGCCCCTTTGCTGCTATGACTGTGCCCCGTGTGCAGAAGGGACCATCTCCACTAGGGAAGGTGGGTGAGTACAGCGCAAAATGTCATGCCTTGGAGGAGGGTAAAGCTTTGTAATGCGGAACATTCATCATCCTGCAAAGCATTTATGATGCTCTGGTTTCTTCTGGAGTAACAGAGCAGAAAACCTTCCTAGCTGTTCGATTTACCCTCCCCATGCTGGATGGGCGGCATGACCACATTTCTGTATATTTTTCTCTACTTTCCAGAATGCCTTATTGCATTGCTCCTTGGCATTCTGTCTACTGTAGGCACATTGTCCCTTTGGTACCCCTTGCTGCTAAGCCTCTCCTGCCTAGCAGTGTCCCTGCATTCCTCCTTCAGTCCTCCATCTCTCCAGAAAGCCTTCCCTCCCACTATCAATCCAAGTCTTCTCCTCCTCTCAATGCTATCCTCACAACAACCCTGTGAGGTAGGCAGAGCAGAGAGTCTGTCAGTGGCAAAGAGCCACCTGGTGACCAGCATGGCTGAGTCAAGGCTGGAATCAAGACCACTTTTTCCTGCTCCTTCTTGGCCTCCAGTTGGGCAGGCATTGCCAGGTGTGGAATTCAACCCACTCCACTGGGGGAGCAGAACTCCCTCTAACAAATTGAAATGATCCACCCCCAGTCTTCTCCCATCTCACTCCCACCCTGATGACTTCTGTGATGTAGAGTGAGTTCAGAACTCACAGAACCTCCCAGAATACTTTGCAAACACAAGATGACCCACTCAGAAGGTTTTCCTGGGAAGAAAGAGAGAACAATGAATGTGTCACTTGGTTCAAGAACATTTGATTCCAAGATGCTCTATGTATGGCTGTGGATGAGGTTGATGAAACTATTATGTTGGAAGGGCACAGAAGGAATATCGGGGGCTGCCAGTGCCCCTGTGTTGGTGTCCTCTTCTGGGTCCCTCTCATTAACACAACACCTGGGTCAGGCAAGGGAATGGCTGGCCAAATGACCAGTCCCAATTTCTCAGTTTGCACTGACTGTACCTCAGCTCCACTCCTGGAGGGGTGGTGGGTACCAGCAAATTGCCCTCTTGGAGAGCTTGTGGCAGAAGAGGGGCTGGCTGGTGGCTGGGGAGGCAAGGATGGAATTTTCAGGGTGCACAGCTGGAGCCTTGAAAACAGCTTCAGGATCGACCCCTGTGTGGCTTCCATGCACTCATGGTGGGTGCACAGCTAGTGTTAGGCTCAATGAATTCTGAAGGCCTCAGAGTCAGGCTGGATGAGTCCTGGGTGGGAGAACAGCACCTCTTCCAGCATCTTACCTGACCCTTGAAGGCTGGCTCAAGCATTGTAGTTAGAGGTAGGATTTTGGCTGGGACTATGGAAATCCCAGAGGAGTTGTGCACCCTTGCTTCATATCCCGCCACTCAAGCAGGATTGCAGCAAGCTTGTCTTGAGAAGGCTGCATGCCTGGCTTGACCTGGGAAAGTTGTTTTGTGCTATCATGATCTTCGTGAAATACTTGAGATGGTGCAGAAACAAGGGAAGGACTCCCTGCCAGCATCAGACATTTTCTGGTGCATGAATGTATTAATGATTGCCACACATCCTAGTGCAATTTCTACCTTCCAGTTATTTCGCTGTCATGACAATTGCTGTGAGGACATTTATTGACTTTAGAGCAAAAGTCCTCAAACTACAGCCCACGGGCCAGATACAGCCCACCAAGGTCATTTACCAGGTTCACCTCAGAGCTTTCAGACTCTTTCAGAGAAAACAATATCTGAATGAGTCCAAAATCTATTAGCCAGTGCAGACGTTCTCTGAAACTATTTCAGTTTCGGATACTAAAAGAGAGCCAATGCACGCACCAAATTGTGACAGCTCCCATCTACTGAGCGTGCACCTGCTCTCTCCACTTGCTCTGTCTGGCTCCCGCTGCTTTGCTGACCTTGCCAGCATGAATTGTGCACATGCTGGCTCTTCCCCCTGTTTTATGCATACGTTGGAAAACAGAACAGAGGAGCGAGAATGCAGAAGAGAGGAGAGAATATGGAACCAGACATTGAACTTGTCTTTAGCCAAAAGCAGGCCAATACTTCTGATTGAAATACTAATAAAAAGTTTCTGCTGATTACACTTGTTCTTTATTTTAAATATTGTTTTGATTTTCCTTTTTTTTTTTTTTTTGTGCTACTAATAGTATTTGTGCAGTGTGCATAGAAATTCATTCAAATTGTTTTCCTACTATAGTCCAGCCTGCAACAGTGTGAAGAACAGTGAATTGGCCCCCTGTTTAAAAAGTCTGAGGACCCCTGCTTTAAAGAATGAAGGGGCCCATCAAGTCTACGCAGGGCAGAAAAACACCCTATGTTGGCTCTCACACAAGAATCATTCCCCTCCCAGCAGTTCTACCATTTCTACTAATACTCATAATAAGAACGACAACAATAATGAATACAATGTACAGAACAGAGACTGTACTGGCTGTCGGGGTGCTGTTTCTCTTGCTTTTGACAGATGCAGAGCATTGCCTGAAGTGTCCAGAAGGCCAGCATCCAAGCACATCCCGGAATCAGTGCATTCCCAAGGTCATCACCTTCCTGTCCTATGAAGAATATTTGGGGTCCTTCCTCACTTGTGTAAACCTACTCTTCTCTGTAGCTGCAGGAAGCATTTTGGGAATCTTCAGGAAATTCCAAGAAACCCCAGTAGTCAAGGCCAACAACCGAGACCTCTCCTACATTCTGCTTGTCGCCATCCTGCTTTGCTTTGCATGCTCTTTCCTCTTCATTGGCCAGCCAAGAAGCATCACCTGCCTCCTCCGACAAGCAGCCTTCAGCATCATCTTCTCAGTGGCCATCTCTTCTCTTCTGGCCAAAACTGTCACTGTAGTGCTGGCCTTCCTGGCCACCAAGCCAGGCAACCGGGCGATGAACTGGTTGGGGAGGAGTTTGGCCAACTCCATTGTCATGTCCTGTTCCAGCGTCCAAGTAGTCATCTCAACCATCTGGCTGGGCACCTCCCCACCATTCCCTGACTCAGACAAGCAGTCCCAGCCTGGGCAGATCATCCTGAAGTGCAACGAAGGCTCTGTGGCCATGTTCTACACTGCCCTTGGCTACATGGGCTTCCTGGCTGCCATTTGCTTCACGGTGGCCTTCCTGGCCAGGAAGCTGCCCGGGGCCTTCAACGAGGCCAAGCTCATCACCTTCAGTATGCTGGTCTTCTGCAGTGTCTGGGTGTCCTTCATTCCTGCCTATCTGAGCACCAAGGGGAAGTACATGGTGGCCGTGCAGGTCTTCTCCATTGTGGCCTCCAGTGCTGGGCTGCTGGGCTGCATCTTCCTCCCCAAGTGCTACATTATTCTTGTGAGGCCTGATCTGAATACCAAAGAGCATCTCATGACGAAAAGCCAAGTATAAAGTTGATTTTTTATTTTTCATCAGCAACTCAATGTTCTGACATTTCTTAACAGCTAGAGATCTATTTTGTGTATGTGGACATTATAGAAATGGAAGAGAATTGTTTTGCCCTTTTCAAACACGGCGGGTAAAAAAGGTCCATTTCATACATGGGGAGGCACAATGCTTGAAATGTTCCCAAGTTAATCTCATGATCTGAGCTTTGTCTGCCTGTCTTTCTGTTTCTCTGTTTCTCTGTCTCTCTGTCTCTCTGTCTCTCTCTCTTTCTTTCTTTGTAATAATAGTTTCTATTTTCAGTCATTGCTTTGTTCAGTCTATGTTTTGAATTTCTGGTGTACAATTGATTATGCTTTCTTTCTTAATTTTGCCGTGAAGAGGAACAGTGCTAAGAGCATCAAGGATACATTGTTGCTGCTGCTGCTGCTATTATTTTTGTTAATAGTCAGGAACCAAAATTAAGACATTGTTCTTCCACTCACCCTCCAAAGTGTATCAGGACCCTCATCTGCACTCTGGAAATATGGCACCTAGATGTCAGTTTAGATTTTCAGGGCTCCTGCTCTTCCTTTCCTGCCTTGCATGGAAGCAGACACCTTCCAAAGACTTCTTCAAGCAAGCTAAAGGGAAGGCTCCTGCCCCCAAAGCCCACCATGCAGTCCCCACAGGGGTCTCTGACCTCCTTTTCCAGTTGCCTCCAGCTCCCCTGCCTTTCTCCTTCCCTGCAGTGTGAGCACCTCATCCCCAGCAGAGCATCTCACAGAGGAAGGGATCGTGCACCTCCCAAAGAGAAGTCCATGGAAGGGGAATCTGCAGAAATATAAAGGCAGTTGTGGGAAAGAGAGGGAGGGAGGTAGAGATAGAATTTCTTAGAACAAGTTGGGATACATCATTTACAATAGAAGAAAATTAACTCTGTCCCAATGAGAAGAAATATAGCCATTTTAATAAATAAATATGGCACTACTAATCCAGTTTTGTTTTTTATGGGATGTCAGTTAACAATGTTCCAGTTGTTAATAGTTTCTTTTCCAATTCAATGCGTTTTACATGGCTGGGGCATGTTACTGAGGAACCAATAAAAGAAGTGGTGGAAAGACACAACCCAATGGCTTTTCCAAGACATTCTTCCGAAGTCTAAATACTATCAGAAGCTCAGTGTAGTGGAAAAGGAACAGGATCTGCAAACTGCCACTGATGGCATCAAACCAAGGTTCTTGCACTTGAGTGAGCAACTGAAGGTGAATGTCTTGATGCTGCTAGTCCTGGGGCTGAGAGACTTTTGAGGAAAGAATACTGTGGTGGCTTTCCACTCCAGCACTGGGGTATGGCCTGTGGAGCACTGATTTTTGCCAAGCCTAGAAGAGCAAATCCATGGTATGGCAGGCCAGTCACTTTAACATCTGCTGTCGGTAAATCAATTGAAAGCATACTTAAAGGGCTGACCAGCAAGCACATAGAAGGCCTAGAAATGCTGACAAACATTCAACTGAACTTCTGCGATAGGAAATGCATTTTACCTGTTAGACTTTTTTGGCAGTGTGCACAAGTACATGACCAGGGCAAATCTGATAGACATTCTTGACTTCCACATGAGTTTTGAAAGAGTAGCCCACAAAAGCCTTCTGAGCAAACTTTGCAGCCATGGGATACAAGGGGGCAGGTCTTCTTGTTACAGAAGCGACAATAGCTCACTGGGAATCAACAGGTTCTTTCTCCTGGGCCATCCTCATTCATAGATGTACATTATGCTCTTGCTAAATGCCCTGGAGCTCTTCAGGAAAGGAGGAAGTGCAATCCTTCTTTTTCCTATCCTGGGGAAGAGGAGACTCAAGCAACATACAGGTATGTGTGGCTCTTCAAGCAACATACAGGTATGTGTAGGAGTGTCACATGGCAGAGGGATGTAATGGAGGGAAGGATGTGGTCCAGTGGGGCAAAGCTCAAGGAACCGGGTTTCAGGTTGGATGTCAGGAAGTACTTCCTGATGGTTGGGACCCCTGGGATATGGGATGGGCTTCCACTGGAGGTGTTTCTATGAAAACAGACTCTTCCAAACTAAAACACACAGACAGACACAGAGCCATGATTAATTAGGGAGAGGCCTAAGTCTGGCACAGGCAGCAGTAAGATGTCAGTTTGCTGTCTTCTCTCCTCAATCATGGTGTTTCTCCTGCTCTTCCAGCTTCATCCTCATGTGATGAGCCCCCAGTTTCATGACACTTCCATGGGCAGAGTGTATTTGGATGAGGACAGAGAGCTGGGGCAGACTTTGACTTTGTGATCTAAGTAGTGTTTCTCAGTCAGTCTTCCCTGTCCAAAGACAGGATGGAGAAGAGTTGGGATAGCTTTTCTGCTGGACCCTGCAGTCTCCACCATTCCAAAATCGTTTCCCAAGTCCCCCACTTTGAGCTTGCATTCCTGCCTTTTGAAGCAGCCTGTGTCACTCTTTCCATTCCAGGTGCAAGTGGGAAATGGAGGGTGGTTGGTGCTCAGATTTCTATTTCCAAGGCCAGACTGCAGGCTTTAAACACTTATCTAGGATTCTAAACCAACCATTGGCTCCTTGTACACTCTCGATAGGCCATAAGAATGCTCCTTTCATACTCCAGAATGCCTAGAGGAGACAGTGGTAACAAAAACTTGTATTTCCTCTTCTCCACCCTCACACATACGTTAAATTACTGGGTTGCCTCTGATGTTATCCATCCCATAACATCCTGTTCTCCTGATCAGTGGAACATGGAAGCTCTAGCTTGTTGAACTTCTCACAGTTCCACCTGCAGCTCACACTTATTCCCTGCTATGAACCTTTGTGGCATCATTCTTGTTCTGTGAATGGTAAAATGTGCATTTGGGAATGCGGTATTTAAGGTACCCACCCAAATGTGCCTTAAATGTCCTTCTCTGCATTGAATTAAAGAGCCAGTGTTTTGTGTGAAAGGATTTGTATGGCACTTTGTCCTGACTTTTACTGAGATGCATTGAAAATGACAGAGAGCAACTCTGACCTCCAAATGTGCCACAAAACTTAGAGACCAAGTGAAGTCATGTGGTGAAAGTCTAGATCTGTGGAAGGATTCTGTGGAATAGGCCCAGTTTGCTGCATTTCAGCAGAATCTGGTTGTAAATAGATGAAGAGGAAGAGGACGAGGACGACGACGACAATGACAAGGAGGAGAACAACAAGGAGGAGTTTGTTCCTGGCAAACACACCCAGTATTGCTGAGCTCTTTCCAAGAATTGAGTCCTGTGTGTTGTGCACGCAGCACCCCTCCCATATGCCCTGCTGGCCAGACATGTCTGTAGAACCTAGAAAGAGCCACCATGGATCAAACAAGGGGTCATGTCTAGCCAAGGTCTCCCTGCAACCAGTGTGCACAGGGATATTGCCTCTGATCTGGAGATAGCCCTTGGCCAGCAAGGCTGCTAGCCATGATAGCTGCCTCCTCCTCCTCCTCCCCCCTTCAAATCCCTCCAATCACCTTTGAAAGGCACCCAAATTGGTGACTATCACCTCCTCCTGGATGCCAGTTCCATAGTTCAGCTATGCAGTGTGTGGAGAAATGCTCTTTTTATCTTTCCTGAATCCTCTGAGGATGAATTTGGTGGTGCATGAAGTTCAGGAGACCACGTGCCCTTTCCAAAGGTGCTGCTCATTGGGTTCATTTTAAAAAAGTCATTTCGGGAGCAAGTAAGAGGGCAAAGGACTCTCTTTGCTGCAAAGAGCTCTCTCATTCTGCCTCGTGATGGAGACTCAACCACCTCCCTTGGAAGCCCATTCCATATCCTATGTGTCCTGATCATCAGGAAGTACTTCCTGACCTCCAACCTGAAGCCTGGTTCCTTGAGCTTTGCTCCCTTAGATTGTGTCCTGCCCTCCACTGCAGAAAACAACAGGCCATGGCCCTCCTCCACATGACATGTCCTCAGCTACTTGTAATTCACTAAAAGATCACCTCGGAGCCTCCACTCCTAGAGGCTGAAAGGAACCATTTCCCTCAACATCTCCTCTCATGTGATCCCTCCAAACCTGGCTCCCTTTCTTGTGACCCTACGCTGAACCAATTCGAACCTGCCTATGTCTCTCTTATAACATGGAGACCAGAACTGGATGACGTACTCCATTTGTGGGTTCAGCAGAGTCATAGAGAGTGGTATCAACACCTCCGTAGATCTGGAAGCCACACGTGGTGTTTGTCTTCTTAACTGTCACATCACAACACTGGCTCATGTTCAGCCTGCTGTTGACAAGAATGCCAAGATCCCTTTCACAAGTGATGCTCACCATCCATGTGCCCCCATCCTGTCCTTGTGACACCTGCTTCTGTGTCTCATGTACAAGACTTGCACTTATCCACATGGAATGCCATCCTGTTGTCCCTCGCCCACTTTCAAAGCCTGGCCAGATCCTTCTGGATCTGGATTACCAGCTCCCCAGGTGAGGCCATGGCCTCTACTTTGGTATCATCTGCAAATTTAGTCAGCAGACAGGTTATCCCCTCCACCAGGTCATTGATAAAAAGGTTGAGCTGAATTGGTCCCAGAACTGATTGCTGGGTGCTTGGTGTCTGAGAGTTTTGACCTATGTAAATACTGGTTTGGTGCATGAAGAATGAAAGAAATGGGGAAAGGAATGCAGTTGCTGGACCTTTGGAAAAAGAAAACAGAAATGAGAAAAATGGGGGGGGGGGGTCTGCCTTGCTTGCTTAGAGCAGCCAGTGATGTTTGGCCAGCCTGTCTCAGGGGAACACTTTGGACAAACTCTTGGCTCTGTGGCCTTGACCATGGCATACAGCTAAGAAAAAGGGGGATGCTTTGGCAGGAAAGTATCACTGCTCTGTGAGCACAGTAGTGTGCACACAGAGCCCCTGAGCATGTATAAACCTCAGAGTCCCTGTGGGAGTTACATCAGCTGTGCTTCCAGCCACAGGTGGAGGCAGGCATCAGCTAACACTCAAAAGAAATCTTGGTGGGACTAGGGGAATTTGTTCTATGGAAAGGAAGACTTCTAAAGTGATGTTGTGTGCATTCATCAACGACTGTGTGAATGACCAGAAAGAAGGAAGCACCAGAAGAAGAAAGCAAAAGAGTCAAGCTTTCCGCTCGGTCCAGGGACCAAATGTCTTCTCATACTCACGTGGGATTTGAGTCAGGTATAAAAGACATGTTCTGAAACGTGAGTTTATCAACTTGTCATTGCAAAGTCGCAATGGAATGGTTGGAAGGGAATGGATGAAACTCTTGGGTGGTGCATACATGGGTGTGTGTCTGTGGAGATTCCCCTACCCAATTCCCAATGAGGCTACTTTTCCCCTTGGGTAAACAAGAAGTCAGGTTCTTTTTAGCAATATTGCTAAAGTTATTTATTTATATATTTAAAACTTTTTTGTACCGTCCCCCACAAAATGTCTCGGGACAGTCTTACAATAAAACAAAGTGGAGCACAGCATCCATTCTCTAGAATAAAACCCCTCTTTTTTAAAAAAAACACAACCTTAAAATACAAGGAAAATAAAACAGTTTTGGCCTGGTGCTGAAAAGAATACAGTGTTGGCACCAGGCGAACCTCTCTGGGGAGCAAATTCCATAACAGGGGCACTGCCACTGTGAACACCCTCCTCCAGGAAACCACCCTCCTAATCTCCTTTAAGGAAGGCTCCTGAAAAAGGACCTCTGACTCAGAAACCAAGGGGCAGGCAGGCACATCGAGAAGGAGATGCTCCTTCAGATACCCAGGTCAAAATACAGCTGATCAGGCACCAAAATTCACAAAGTGAATCCTGGAACCAGTAGGGTGTGTTTTGCACCTCCATTAAAAAATGGCAAAATTAAGATGGCCTGGTTTTATCTAGGCTTTCTTCCCATACTGAGCCCACGTATGTCCTAGAATATGGCAGGCAGGAAAAAAGCAAACTGCAAGCTCAGTGGTGCCAAATCATCAGCATCCTTACAATAGCCTAACATTTGCTGTTTGGTGAGCCCATTTGTCAGCTCAAGGATATGGGCAGCTTGAAATGTAAAGCAGCAATACAGCTCCTCCTGGAATTTTTTTAATGATCATAGGCATTCATTTAATCTGAATGCACAAGCACTGGTTGTTCTTTTGAAATGTGTGCGAGTTCATTTTTCTGACTATTCACAATGAGTCGGGGCATTTATACAGGCCACTACCATCACTGTAGATACACATTTGTGCACTTTGTGTTGGCTAGACTGATACAAAACCCAGAACATTTGAGACTGTGCTCAAGGGACTTGTGCTGGACAGAGTTAAAAAGCCCAGAGACTTTCCATCTTCTTTCCCAACTTTCCACAATTTCTTCCCCAACTAATGGGAGTCTTCAAACTATCCTGAGAGCAGGTGAGGCCATCTGCTGCCTACCATGAGCTTCTGTGAAGTGTGAAAGGTCTTTTTCCTTCATTTGGTTTAAGCTGTGCTCTGCCAGGACCCAGGTGAACTGTGCCATCCACTGCAGCTGAGAGAATCAGAATGTGTACAGACACCTCAAAGGAAGAATCTTCCCTTCAGGCCCGGGAGAAAGGTCCTGACCACATCCTCATGCTGAGCAGGGACTGCAGTGATGGTGATGGAGGCCAGTGGAATCCATTTCTGTGTCCTGGCTCAGTGCTTACTACAAACAAAAAAAGTGAAAGTAAACAGGTAAACTATGAGAGCCAAGGGCACTCTAAAGTCTCAGGTCCAATGCAGAGAAGACTGAGTGAAGTCTTCTTCATGAATTTCATGGAGAAATCATGAAATCTTGAAGAATTGTCCAAAGGCAAGCCAAGGGACTGACAAGTGCACCAGACAATTGCATCACCTCATCCTGTACCACATCATACAAATGAGGCTGCCCAGAAGTGATAATGACCTCAGGCAGAATATGCATCACCATGAGGGACCCAGCTCAGAGGAGGATGAAACTCTCAGGCTGCAGTGGCTGAAAGAGGCCTCGGGAGTCAAGGAATCCTGGCATCTCACTCACCAGGACCATGTGGAGCTCACTGAGCCCCCTGCCAATTGCTGTCTCTCCCTCGACATAGGGGGTGGGAGGGGGAGAGGCAACTCAGCGGGAGCCACCCTGGGCCAGGTGTGCCTCTGGGTGGGGATCGAGAGCTGCCCTCCCTTCTCTCCACCACGTTTTCTGCTGGGGGGGGGGAGCACTGAGGCGGGCTGGTGCGGATAGCATTTTCTCAGCCAGGTGGGGCTGAGGGGTCTGGGGGGTGGGGGGGGGGGTCCTTGTAGTTCTGAATTGAATAGTGTGATTATTGTATTAAATCACTTTGATTTTGTGTTGCTCTGGAGTCAAAATGGTACCTGAATTCCTATTAGCTATAAATATACCATTGCATTTCTGTTGATTTTGTGTTTTGCTATTGTGAATTTTTAAGCAATTATACTTGAAAAGAAGCAACAGCAGATCTCGCAAGAGCTCTCTAAAAATTTCACTTGTGTCCAATTAGATGTAATTTCAATATTTTATTCTTTTATTAGCATTTTTACTTCTATGTTTCTGGTTATTTTAGGAGAATTTGCTTTCCTATTTTTGTACTGTTTGAAAACGAATACACAAAATACTATATCATGCATATCATGCTTTTTATTTCTGCCTCAGTGGTCCCTGAAATAATTTTCCTATTTTTGCCAGTCCCCAAGTGTAAAAAGGATGAAACTCAGTGCCACAGAGGTCTCCCTGTAGATCAGAGCAGACATCCTCACAGGCTGCGAAATCGGATTCTCAGACACTGCCAGGTGCAGGAGCTGAGATTACGCACATGGGCCCCAGCAAAACTGCCCCTCTCATTTATCTGCATTTTTTCCACAGGACCAAAATCCAAGTCAATCTCACTTACTGCCTGTTCTCTCCCTGATTGCTTACACTTTCAAAACACCAATGGGGCAGGGCAGATTTGAATGGATCCTGGGATCCCAGGAGAGTGCTGATGTGTCTTTGGGTGAATTTTCCATGCATGAGGAAAGCAAAGCAAGCACTTTGCATACTTCACCCATCGTTCTTTTCCTGACAACAACAATCCTGCCAGGTAGGATAGGCTGAGAATGGAAACTGGCTTCATCTCATAGATTGACTGGTGGGAAACACACAGTCCCAGCACACGCACCCCAAGGGGAACAGGATGCCAGAAATAGACAGTGACCACAGCAGTTAGGAAAAAAGAAACTTTCCCTGAGGGAAAGAGGGGT